CCGGGCTCCGTGCGCCCCACCCCGCCGGGATGCGGGGCCCAGGGCCGCTCACACCTGCGAGCCCAGCTGCTCGGGAGGCTGAGCGCTGAGGACCGCGGTTCAAAGCCAGCCCGAGCAGGGAAGGCCTGCGACTCTTATCTCCAATAAACCAGCAGAAAACCGGAAGTGGTGTGTGGCTCAAGCGGTAGAGTGCTCGCCTTGAGCACAAAGAGGCTCAGGGAGAGCGCCCAGGCCCTGAGTTCAAGGCCCAGGACCAACACACACACACACACACACCGCACACACACACACGCGCACACACACACGCACACAGAGGAGAGAGGCCGGCCTAGAACTGTCTAGCGTTGAGCCCTGGTGTGGGCAGACCCTAACCCAGCACAGGTGTGGTGTGGTGGTGGCTGGGTCTGGGTAGTGCAGCCCACAGATAACCTGGGGCAGTGTGGATTTGAACTCACGACCCAGGGCAGTGTGGATTTGAACTCATGACCCGGGGCAGTGTGGATTTGAACTCATGACCCGGGACAGTGTGGATTTGAACTCATGACCCGGGGCAGTGTGGATTTGGACGCAGCACCTCAGCCCTCGCCCACCAGATCTCCATCCCAGACACAGCAGCTCAGAGCCCGGTCCCGGCCAACACTAGCTCGAGGCTGTGTGGGGTGGGGTGTGTGTGGGGGGGGTTCCCACCATCCAGGAAGAAGGTGCCCTGGGCCCCCAAGCCCCAGCCTCATCAGAGCCCCCAAGAACCTCTGGAGACCCCAAGTCAGGTTTGGAGAGACCCACGCGGGTGGTGTATTTATTGGTGGGGTGCAGCGGGGCAGGGGGCTGGGGGGGCAGTCCTCGCCCAGCCCGCGCTGCCCGCGCCGCCCTACAGCCGGCCGCGCCTCAGGAGAGACTGAAGCACCAAGCTGGGCAGGAAGGGCTCCTGGGGGGCGAGAAGGGGGACCCGCTGGGCTGTGAGGACCCCAGGCCCCCTGCGCCCCAAGGGGTTCCACCCCGGGGGCCGGCACTGGCCAGCCCCATTCTCCACGAGGAAGATGGGCTGGGTTTGAACCGGGGCCGTTGCAGGGGGGCTGGTGCTCACCTGCTTGTGGGTGCAGGAGCAGGGTGCTGGGGACCTCCGGCCCAGGGTGCCGTAGGCGTCCAGGAAGGTTTTGTAGTCCCCCCGCGGTCTGGACGTGCTGGCTCTGGCAACGAAGGGCAGGCAGGCGTGCAGGGAGGCGTTAGAGCGGTGGCGCTGCGGCTCCTGGGCGGGTCTGGGGGAGAGGGAGCCGGTGAACCCCCCTGCCCCCCGTGGCTGGACGGGCGCCCCCAGCCCCTCCCTCAGCTCACACGCCAGTGCGCTCCCAGGACGAGCTGCTGCTGCCCATGGCTTCTTTGAGCCTGGGGTACACGGCCTTGGGCAGACTCTCCAGCCACTTCCCCACGTTCCGCAACACCCGCTCCGGCACAGAACCTTCTGGAAGCGTGCTTGGCTCGTCCTCGAAGATGTTCCTGTGGACTACAGGGAGAGAAGGCCCGACTGAGTTCCTAGCTGGGGGGGGGG